TGTAATTTTTCTTATACTGTAAAATTCTAGCAGACAAAGTGTTCGAGGTCTCTGGTTTGTTTATGGATAAAGAAAAGCTTTTTTTGAACCCTTTAACTTTTTCCAGTCCTTTAATTTCTCCCATTTTCAACCTTTTGATCTCTGCTTAATGATTGTTTTTATCATCCAATTCAGTTTAGATTGGTTATAAAAGATTTAATTTTGTTGATAAGGTTTCATATAATAGAAGAAGTTGACCTTCACAAAGAACGATGGAATTTTTTTTTTTGCGATTTGGGCTTACCTGTTGACCATCATCAGATTTTTGTTTGCGATTTGGGCTTACCTGTTCTCAGCACTTTGGTTTATGTTAATTTGTGTTTGTATTTTGGAAGATTTACATGCATATCACACAATGCTTATGTATTTACATATCTGACATGTAAGTTTTGACTATTATCTTTATAGAACTTTATCTATCTATGCATGAAAAGGTGCATTTCATCTTTTAGAACTAAACTAGAACCCAATGGGGACATTGTATAAATGTATAATGTGAAGTTTAGGTGTTATAATTGTAGAAACACATGAATTGGGTGGGTTTGATGCAAATGTCCCAATTTTCACAAGCAATTACTATACACTAGCATTTGCAAGATCCATTTGGCACTCAGGTTTACATAGTTACTAGATCATAAAAACAGATGGTGGAAAGATAAGAGGGACTGGCTTCAAAACATACCTCGTTTTCTATAAAATGAATAAAAAAGGATTTCAAAATCCTGATTATAAAAACAGACGGGTATATCGGCCTTCTGGAGCTTCGGCTGGCGGTGATTAGGGGTAATGCATCGGAGATTCATAACGTCATTTAATTGCTGAACCTCTGGCATGTAATTCATTTTTATTTTCTTTACAGAACAAAGCTTACTTTATGTACTGATCTGAATGGAGAGTTTCTATTTGCATTGCTTTGAATCTTGAACTTACTGTATTCAATTTTTTATTCACTTCAATTGCTTGGTTACTTCTCTATGTTTCCTTTTTCAAGTATAGGTGATAATTCTATATCGTATAAGCTGGTCTTATTAGAATATCTCTTGTTTTAACATAAATGCCACCCAATTCCAATGTATTTGCATATCTAACACCTAAACTTTACTTTTTACACTTATGCTACAGCAATCTTTTATATCACTTTAAAAATACCATGGTAATTGCCCTTCCATGCTATTTTGATTGATGCTTTGAATTCTTCCTTTTTAAAATCAAGAAGAGATGTGAAATGAAATTAGGATGTGGATTTAAATACATAACACCCATTTCTAATACATTTGCAAGCAGCTTCGAAGGCTCTTGGTTTTGTGCTTAACAGTTGCTTCCGTGGGTCCCTAATAAAGAACTTATTGGTGTATATGTTTTTTGATGGAACAAAGGAGAATATGAGCTTCTGATTCTCAATTTCCTTCCCAATTTTCTATATTTTTCAAGCAACCATACAAGCTATTAAAGCTTGTAGATTCTTGCAGTTTAGTCAAGGTTGAAGCCTGTCTTGGTTTCTTTTATGTTTTCAGATGATTCACATATGATCTATCAAAGGATGTTGGAGCCCTTTAAGTGTTTAGATTAACTGCTTCACCCTGCAAAGGAATTATGTTACATAGATGCAATTGAATTCTCAGACAATTATTTATCTATAATCTAAACTTTGTTCTTTATTATAAATGTTTTAGATTTCCTACATGACCCGACAATTTCTATGTATTTACTTGTCCAACACCTAAACACTTCCATGCCCTGATCCCTCCAATTGTTTGGCATTTCCCATCAGTTCTGTTGTAATTTTGGCCAAACATGGATTATTAGGCGTATTTCTCGCAAATGAACATAATGCAGGAATGTTTGACTAATTTAAGGTATTATGTGTTACATAGATGCAATTGAATTCTCAGACAATTATTTATATATAATCTAAACTTTGATCTTTATTATAAATGTTTTATATTTCTTTCATGACCAGACAATTTCTATGTATTTACATGTCCAACACCTAAACACTTCTGTGTCATGACCCCTCCAAATGCTTGGTATTTCCCATTAGCTCTGTTGTAATTTTGGCCAAACATGGATTCTTAGGCGTATTTGTCGCAAATGAACGTAATCCAGGAATGTTTGGCTAATCAAAGGTATTATGTGTTACATAGATGCAATTGAATTGTCAGACAATTATTTATCTATAATCTAAACTTTGATCTTTATTATAAATGTTTTAGATTTCTTACATGACCAGACAATTTCTATGTATTGACTTGTCCAGCACCTGAACACTTCCGTGTCCTGACCCCTCAAAATTCTTGGTATTTCCCATTAGCTCTGTTGTAAATTTGGCCAAACTTGAATCTTATTATGCGTATTTCTCGCAAATGAGCGTAATGCAGGAATGTTTGGCTAATTAAAGGTATTATGTGTTACATAGATGCAATTGATGTAAGCTATTTTCTGGATGTAAGCTCTGCGAAATGAATATACAATGCATATTTGAATTCAATTTTCTGTTATTTTCTGATATATTCATTTATTTTCTACTCTGCAAAATGGATGTACAATGCAGATTTGAGATATTGGTAGACAAACAAGCACTTCTTATTCCATGATGCAGTTGTAGGGAGTTGTTTATTGGATTTGCTGCTTGAGATATTAAAATGAATTCAAGATTCTGATTCTACAATTTCTTGTTAATTCATGGAGCTGTTTTAAGCGTCTTCATGTGGAAGGTAGAAAAAAGAGTGGTTCTTTGCTTAACAGTTGCTTCCGTGGGTCCCTAATAAAGAACTTATTGGTGTATATGTTTTTTAATGGAACAAAGGAGAATATGAGCTTCTGATTCTCAATTTCCTTCCCAATTTTCTATAATTTTCAAGCAACCATATGAGTTGTTTGCAAATGCCACAACAGGGTAGTATGGTCATTTTTCCTTAAACAGCTGCCTGATAGTTGGTTTCACACAGCTGCACCAAATAGACGGTCAGCTTTACCACAGTTGTTTCCCCGCAGCAGCTTCCTGGGGCAGCGCAGCTACAGCTGAAAAGCTGAGAAGCTACAACTGCGCCAAACAGACCTTAAATAATAGACCCAAGATGCATTTCACACCTTTTATTGATTTGATCACCTATAGTTACAACTCTATCACTAGAGCTACTACTAAAATTACATTTCATTTATTCAATTTTAATTCTACTCAAACGAAGGCCTTTAGACTCAAATGTAAACCTACATAATTCAAGTTTTTCCTAAACTTTTTCTCAAATCTTATCCCTAAGAAGGATATTATCAGCGAAAAGCATACACCAAGGTACATCCTCCTATAAATGTCCAGTAAGAGCATCCATGACAAAAGCAAAGAGATATGGACTTAAAGTCTATCTTTGATGCAATCCAACTGAAATAGAATATTACTTGGTCAATCCTCCTCCTGATCAAAAACATATAACAACTCTAGTATACAGATCTTTAATGGCTTGAACATAAGTCATATCAACACATTTCTTCTCTAGAACTCTACACTATTGGAAATATATCGTAAGCTTTGTCTAAATAAAAAAAATCACATATTGATCCTCCTTATTCTCTCTATACTTCTCTATCAAATATCTCAATAAATGCATAGTTTCATTTATTGATAAATATATTGTTTTAATTTAATTTGATTAGTGATTTTTTATTTGTTAATAGTTTGTTACAGAAAATAAATATGAAAAAATTTAATTCACACTGTCTGACCGTCTGTACCCGTCTTGGTTAATTTCAAGTCCCATGGTAGATCGTGACATGAACCAACTTTTTTGTCCGCATCCAACTATAATGTGGGAACTCTTGCTTATTTAGCACTACACTCAGGCGTCGATGTAATAACCTTTACTCACTTTTCACTATAGCATGATCATAAATATTTCATTACAGTTAAGAGCATGAAAAAAAATTCAATCATAACTTTCGGAAATAACCTCAATTGCATGAACATGAATTGAAGCATGACATCATATATTTTAGGGTGAATAAACAATATAATTATTACAGGAGCATCATCTAAAACACGTATACAAATATGGTATGTTCTTATCAATAACTATTTAAATATTTATCATATCAACAAAGTGACAAATAACAAAACAATCAAAGCGATGGTGCAAGCATCCCATGCATAGAAGCGTCTCACAATAAGAAGGCGGTTCAAATTTTCAATAAGCATGTGGAAGCATTCATATACATCATTTATTTTCTCATTCAAATTTAAGAATTTTGATCAAGCTTTTCATTACACCTCCGCCAACCCCTTCAAGCACGATAACAATAATCTACTTCAATGAATCGTAGTTAATTGAGCCATATAAGAAGAAATAACATAAAATTTAATGTCAAGCTTTGCAACCAGGCATAAATAAGAGTTCTCGTATAATTGGAAGGGTAATTAATTAATTATAAGAGCTTGAGCAAATGGAAATCAACCCAAGAATACGAAGTCTGCAAATAATGGATAAAAATTTTAGGCAGTTCTTTATTTATTACATGATCAAGCTCCAAGAAAAATCAACCAAAACTAATCTCTCATATAAACTGCAAGTTTTACAGAACCAATAAAAGCAAATGCTAACCCCAACCCCGCACTGCACTTCGACTAGTGCCACATAGACACAAATGCAAACATCCGCATATAGTAAAGCACGAAAATTAAAAAAAATTCTACGAAATAAAGCTAAAGATTATGGCATTTTGTAATTCGTTGAAACTTAAACAGCAAAAAGGTGCACCTTTTCAAAATTATGGGACTACTGCGGAATAACATTTCTGATCAGCATGTAAGCAACCCAAGATTCCCTTCAATCTCTACCCTCAATAAGCAACCAATGAAACCCAAATTACAAAAATGACGTTATGCCTGACATTACTAACATCATATTGACCAAATGAATGAGTCCGGTAGTTGAGAATAACGCTCATAATTAAAATTAGAAGATGCTAACCTTGATTGCAATTTCTTGATTATTACTCAAAGTTCCGCGGTGTACTTGAGCAATTGATGCAGCAGCAATTGGATTTTCATCAAATGAACAAAATCTGAAAAGTTAACAAATAAATAAAAGGTGATGTAAATCTCAAAAACGAAATGCTCCAAAGCTTTTCACATTATGTGGGTTTCTATCCAACAAAGAAAAGAAACATTATAGACCATCTCACAGACATAAGAAAATACTATGCAGAAATTTGGTTTAAATAAACAAGAAAAAGTATTGTATGCCGCCGAACATAGCTCTACGTGCGGACACCAATAATATGTCGTAACCTGTGCTACATCGCAAAGGTTATTTCAAGGAGTGGAACCGCGGAGGTTATTTCTGAGTTATTGAAGAATAACTCATATATCTCACTTCAATAACCAAAAAATAATCTCGAAATAACATTTGCGGTTCCACTTCAATGACCCCGAAATAACACCTCGAAGGTTATTTATGGGTTATTGAAGAGAAACCATATATTACAAATTCAATAACCCAGAAAAAACCTCCGCGGTGTTATTTCAGAGTTATTGAAGAAAACCCCACTGCGGAGGTTATTTCTGGATTATTTTTGGGTTATTGAGGAGTCTGTGGTTTCACTTTAATATTTTTTAGGTGGGTCTGATATAGCACACATGGCTATATATTACTGGGAGTCAGCACGTAGAGCTACGTTCGGAGTCCGGACTGAAAGTTTTTCTATATAAGAAAGAGTCATACATTAAATGTTAAAAAAAGGAGTAGCAAGCAAGGAACAAAATACAGTGCATAAATAGAAAAGTGTTCAGACAGCATAGTTGTGCTTCATCATGTGTGATTTAGTTGTCATTGCCTGCCCAGAGTAGCAAGTCCCTTTTTGCTCTATCCCGCCATTCTTTGGTGTATTAGCAGCAGAATTTTCATTCATGAAAGGGGGTTTTACCCAGTACGCTGTGTTGAGTGATTTAGTAGTAAATGCCCTCCCAGAGGTGGCAAAAATGTACAAGACACTCTTGGAAAAGATCGGGAATTCCATTTTGAAGGATAAGTCACTTATCTATTTGGCAGGTAGTTGCTAAAAGGGTTACAATTTTGTTTAAAAACTTATCCCCATTATCTCTTAGGGCTTTCCTAACTATTCTATCGACTTTATAAACGGTCGAGTTGGACCAATTTTCTCATATTGTAAATCTGAATACTATGTTTAGGCTAAATAGAGCTGGTTTCCGGGTACAATCTCACCTATACTCTACTCGGCCTCTACTTCGTGTTCAAGGTGCTGAGAACATATATGGGTGGTCTTAACTGAACTGACACATCGGTTTCAACTACCTTAAGAGTGGTGGATTAGCAGGCATAAACCCATCAATCCATACATAAAGATACTTCTAGTTGAGTTCCTTCAAAAGAAGCAGAAAGAGATTAAGGGTCCGTTTGGGGTAGCTTATAAGTGCGGACGGCGTTTTCAAAAAGTCATCGTACTGTTTGGTTCGCGCGTTTCACCAGCTTATCTGAAACTGCGTTTGGGTTTTTACACTAAACCCAGGTCGCGGGTCGCCTCCTACGGTCGGCCCGCGGGCCGCGTTTCAGGATAAGCAACTTATCCTGAAATGCACAAGCCGCCCCAAACGGACCCTAAGTTGTTGATCTGGTGTACGATGGAGAACGGGAAATCCTAGAGCGTACTTTATCCTTAATTGGGTAAAACTGTGGCCTTGCTAGGTTTATTGGTCTAACACCATGAACATGGTGCCTGCGCAGAAGTCGTCGGCTTCTTCGACCACATGAGGCGTCAGCGTTAGCATCAGCTTCAACAGCTTCAGCGTTTGCTTTGACCGCAAAAGGCGTCAGCTTCGACCGCAAAAGGCGCCAGCTTCGACCGCAAAAGGCGCCAGCTTCGACCGCAAAAGGCTTTAGCTTTGGCGTGTGCTTCGACCCCATGAGCGTCTACTTCTATGAACGCAAGCAAATGCTTCGACAAGCATGCCAAACCCGCTTCATTAAGGTAAGCAACTCATGCAAGAAGAAGGTAACTTTTGATTTTTTTCAAGGAAAACTAATATACATGCCACTCAATTCCTATGTATTTCCATATCTAAAACCTAAAATCAAATATATATAAGTATTAAAATTTATAATTAAAAACAAGCCCCTATGCGCTTTGAACCAAAAATAAAATCTTGCGCATCACATTACACTTTGTATTTTGATAGCATTGATAGTTTTAGGCTCCAAGGAAAAACATGGTTCAAGCACAAAGCAAAAACAAATCCAAAGGATTAAAATCTCTTCACGTTGTGAAAAGGGTGTGTTTGAATCAATTTTTAGCTTCCTAACCAGCTATTTAGCCCACTTGGATCCCTGTTCATTACCATGACCAACTATGCATTTTCACTACACACACAAATGAATTGAAATTTAAGAAGACAAAAGAAAAAAGTGACAAAATAGTCACCTGACTATTTACATGGAGTCATTTTAGTCTTAGAGTCTATAAAGATGCAAAATTAGTCCCTACTCCTAGACTCCTTCAATATGGGCCGAAATAATCCCCAAAGAGGACTATTTTAGCCCATATTAAAAAGGTTTGGGGGACCAAATTGACAATTTTATAGACTCTGAGACTAAAATGACCCCCAACAAAGAGTCAGAGACACTTTTCTCCAAAAGAATATATAGAAATTTAGTTATAAATTCTACCTTACTCTTTCTTGACATTAGTTTCTACAAAATGACATTGACATGCCTTCATATTGGGGCCTAACAACACGCTTGGTTCACTGAAACTACACTTAAATCCAAGTGCAAGGACCCTTTCATTATCTATGGAGTCGTGTTGCCTACTATGTGTTCCGCATATAGTAGCAACAATTTGAGGTTTCATATTGTAGAAATTTATCATTGTAAGATTAATAGAGGATAGTGGGGGAATGATAATGAACCCAACCAAGATCACATTGGCCCATCTACCTGGATTGTCATAGACCCTGATCTACTTAATCAAAAAATATAGTAGACATAACCTGATCGAAGGACCTTTACTGGCAATTATGGCTAGTTTCGTCCAAGGAAACGTTGCTTCGTCCAAGAAGACCTTATAGACCTAGGATGGATGTTTATATAAGAGAACTAATTCAAGTTAATCTTAGCTAACAAGGCTTTATGCCCTATCAAATACACCCTATAATTCACATCTCAATAAGAAAAAATTATTGAAAAACATATGAGCTACAATTATTACCATAAGAAAATAGAGAATGCCTAGCCAAACCGCCCTCCATAACCCCTACAATGTGTCAATATCAAGAGTCATACTAGCATACATTTGATAGTAACATCACATATCCTCAACGCTCTTCTTAAACTCACCATGAGCCAATTTACTAACATCTCGTCGAACTATTACTGCTAAAAATCAGCTAATGAGATATTAGAGCAACACATTGCCGAAAGATCTTAGAAGTTTAATAAAAAACTCTACATGTCGACATAACACCTCAGTATACCTGAGATCAATCTTATCCAAGCCAATGTAAGCTAGAAAGTCCAATGCGGTGTTGGCATACGACAAAAAACTATTCCAAAACTCAAAAACCTCCAAAGTCTAAAGATATCGTCTCGTAGAAACATCATATTGCTATCCTATATCGCTAGGTTGTGCGGGCTGACAACTGAAAAATGTCTACAATAAGATAAATGAAATAATTATAATAAATGTATATTATAGAAATAAGTAACTGGCTATTGGAAAACTTCACATATAATTGTATAAAAGGTTAAGATAATCATAAATTCAGAGAACTTCATTGTGAAAATTAAATTTCAACCTTTCAAGAATTTATGTCTGAATAGACTTGTTGGATAAATATACTTTGAAAAATAACAAATATGATACGCTTATAAATTTAAGAATATTTAATAATAATGATGCTTTTAATTCCTATTTGATAATCTAAATTTTTGGAATGAAAAATTAAACATAAAAAAAAAATTTAATAGCAAAGTTAACATGTACATTATTTCTTTTTCATTAAATTATTGTAGATTGGAACTATGATATATCCGTTGAATTATATATATAGATCACCTAGTGAGTCAATAAATATGTTTCCGATAAAGTCCCCTGTGAATATGTTAGATATATGTATATTTATGATATATGTATGTTGTAGTTGTCAATATTTTAATTGAAATTTCTAGGTTGAGTCATAAAAGAGTGATATCACCTCGAATATTAGGCTAAAAAATACCGAATTAATATAAATGAACCATTAGAACTATTATAATTTTGACAAATTTATAAATCATGTAGATTAGGACACTTTGTTAAGATGACCTGAACTCTTATATATTTATATGTATAACATAATTAATTAAAAGACATCTTCCACATCCCACGCCAATCGATTTCTATAGAAAAGCTACAAATGGTAAATACAACTGGAGTTGGTTGAATGGAATGCAGGTTGTGGGAGCACAAAAAGGAAATATAGACTGGCAATCTAGTGGGATCAGGTTGTTACTGATACCCTTATTTATAAGATAGCAACAATATTTCAGCTGATTTCAGATTATTCGTCCAAATTTAATGAAAGTAGTAAATCATCCTTTATATGAGTTGAAGAGCCTATTGAAACAGAGAATTGATTGATACAAGTTGAGAAAAATATTGATGGCACAGTTTATCCTAAGGAGAGAGAAGTGTCATTAACCACATTTGAATTCAATGGTGAAGCGGAGAGATAATGATGAGGTCAGCAACAAGTTAAATTTGGGGATCAACCAAACTCTTTGATCAAAGTGGGCAATTTTGTGAAGACATTCTTGTCAACTCATAATGACTAAATTTTAACATTCTAATTCATAGCCTCCTTGATTGCTACCCATGCAAATGTAATCAGTTTGATCTAGACAAGTTCTGATGTGACACAATATCCATCTGAGTTAACCACCATCTCTGTTTGCATAAACAAGGAATTTTCGAGGCACTGTTGGTTGCTTGAATCGAGAATAACAAACAAAATAAGTAATATGCTGTCTCTCTGAAATAGCAGGCAACAAATCCAACCAAGCAATCAGTACTTTAGAAATTAAAATGAAGGTCCCCTAGGAGGCATAATAAGAAGTGGAATAATGTGCTCATATCTTCTGTCAAGAAGGTGCATCCATAATGATTCCATACTCCACCAAGTTTTCATGGAAAAAACAAATAAGGAAAAGGTAGAGGCTTACAATGTTGAACAATCTTCACCTAAACTTTTGGAAATCATTTCTTTAATGTCCTTAATGTTACAAGGGTTCACCTGCAAGATCAAAAACTATAACTTAACAAACAAATTATAACCCTTAAAGCAATTCTAATAAGATCCGCCATAAAATTATTTAAAAAATGCTGATTATTCACATGCCTGATCTAGTAATGATGAAAGTGTTGAAGAGTATTCCTTTGGAACGTGTCTCAATGATGAAACGAATTGGCCAGCTTTCACATAAAATCCTCCATTGGCTTCACAAAGTTTCAGCAGCCTTTTAGCAGCACGAAGATGGACCTAAAAGAAAGATGATGCAAATTTTAGAAAAATAGATGTTGTAAGGCTTAAGAAGCAGGTTGTAAATCCCAAACTTTTCCGCAAGCTACGTGATAACTTTTGGGTGGAAGGACTTGATTAGTAGGAAAAATCGCAAAAGAGTTAAAGCATTAAGTTTTTTTTTTTTTTTTTTTTTTTTTTTGTTAGGGAAAATGAAGTTTTAATAAATTTAGCATTCTAATCATGTTTATAAGAAACAAACCCACTAAAAGTTCTCATAAATAGCATACAACGCCATATATGCTCCACAACTAAAAAAGGGAAATGCACAAGATGCTACTCTCAGTTTTTTGGTAGCCAGTGTTACAATTAGGAGGAAAAAAATTGAACTCTAATAAGAGGTGAGAAGAGAAGAAGAGAAGAGTGGGAGTCAATGCCTTATGAGAGATAGAAGAGAAGGGAGAGGACAAGGAAGAAGTCATGTGTAGGAAGCCTATGCAAAAAAAGCACTCTAACGTCTCACATAAAAGAAGAGGAGCTCGCGGGAAAAAGGAAGAATCTGTTGACATACCTAGGGCTTGGAGATGAGTGGTCATGTGTGTCCTGTGCAAAGGAGAAGAGGGGGGTGAATCCTAGTTGATCGACGCAGCACGAAGAGGAAGAAGAAAAGAGAAGCAAATGTCTGAAGCACGGGAAGTGTTGGTGTGTCAAAGGAGGAGTTTGTGGGGGCGGTGTGGTGCCGCACAGTAGATTTTCCTGTTTGGCTAAACTACGTTTCGCCTGTATTTTTAAACAAGCTGCAGCTAAAAGCTGTGTTTTGTCATCGTAGATGGCTACCTGCGATGGCTTTTAGAAAATTGTGGTCTGACTTTTTCAAAAAAAAAAATTCTAATAACCATCGTAATTTTTTGAACTGCAATTTCTTCTTCAGCAGCTTTACGACTTCTTTAAACAGTTGCAATTGCCCCAAACAGGCCTAAATTCAATGTTGTACAAGCTTTTTTGTGTTTGTGAGTGAGAAAGAGTAACAACTTGCGTTCAAGATAGGGGAAGAGTTGAGCTTCAAAAGGTAAGGATTAATATTTGGGTTTTTTATTATATAAATGGTTTAATTTAAAGAGTTATTATGATAATATTAAAAATTTATGAATTTCTATTTGTAATTGGGTTTGACAATCAATCAAATTAAAAGCTGGTTTGAGCTGGTTAAGTTTCAAACAAAAATTTCAAAATAATTTGATGTAAATCAGGAATTATTATTATTATTATTATTATTATTAAATTAGACAAATATTCAAATAACAATAAATGAGGGAATTTAATATTCAAGTAAAATAATTAAGAAAGTAATAATAAAATAATCAATTGTAATGACCTATTAAAAGTTAAGAATATAGATGGTGAATATTGATTATGAACTAGAAATTTAAATTGGAATACAGAAATCATAAAATTAATCATCTAACTAGAATAAGATGTTAAATTAAGTTTAAGAATTATTACAATCCTTAATTAAATAAAGTAAATTTTAAATAAACAAATAAATAATAATGGAGATATTAGAATTTGTGTTTGGTTAGTATATAATGAATAAAATAATTAAACATAAAGATCAGCAAGTAAAGACCAACTAAATATAAAATTAATTATTATGCACATTTTCTTATAATTGCCAGAGTAAAGAAGACAAAGTACAAATAAAAAAATTGATTTCTAACTATCTGAACGAGATGATTACTCTTATTTTTAATCAATGATAGTTTTGTTTCTCAACCATTTACTGACACTTGCTAAATTAAATTGCCTAATTTTGATTCTGATTTATAACTTCTATTTATTGGTCTTCTTATAGTAATGACACGTTATTTAAAAATATATAGATTATATAGTATTGAATGAGATGAGTATAAGAATAATATGAACTATATAGTAAGATTGTATGTGCATATTGACTATGATAGAGCACACCCCCTTAAGGTACTAGAGGGTAACGCTAAGTTTGTCGTGCACATAAATGAAAATGTTATTGATATTAATTTATTTTAATTAGTATAACTCCTAAACGATGCTCATGTACCAGATCATATCTGAAAGTCTAAAGCTTTTGCATTGAGTTGTAGTATTTATGACTAGCATGCATATTATTTCCTCTTTCATTTTATTATTATAGAATTATGAATATTCATTGGCATTTGTAGATCATTGTTGTTTAAATTAACTTTTTAAGGAAAATTTTTTTGCTTAAATATGAGTAATATATAAGAGAATATTTATCCAAGATGTGGACAATCTAACTAAATTAAATTTATTATTTATTTAATTTAATTTAAAATTATTCACAACTCTATCATTATTTTAGATTTAGAATGAATAATTGAATTTTAATTCCACTGTCTATTCTTGTCTTAAAAAATTTTACAACCCGAGTCAGGTCAGGACAACTACAAGTATGCGAGACAGGTTTAAATAAAAACACAAACATACAATATACATGCAATATAAGTTTTATATTTTGAAATTTAAAAAGTTCATTTTAAAATAACTCTGTGAGATAGTCATAAATGACAGCTTTTGGTGTATTAGATCAAGAATATAAACTTAAATATCAATCTTAATACAAATCTTTTCAACTCTAGTACTAATGATATGAAGTATCAGACTTATGCCCCATTCGGGGAAGCATGTGGTTTGAAGGGTTTAAGTTTTGCCCTAAAAAAAATTATATTCTCAAAATAATTTCAAGTTTCTTAAAGAGAGAATTTAAGTTTTTTATAAAAAAAAAAAACTTGCAGACCATTTTTGGACTCTTAAATTCAAGTAATTAGTTCATTAGTTGAAACACATACAAACAAATTTATGACCGGACTAAATTAAAGAAAAATTGAGATATGTTAAAAAAGATTGAAAATTTTGGAAAGGACTCGAAAGATGATCTGCTGGACTTTATTAGGATCCAATTAAAAACATCACAGATGCATCAGCAGATTAGTTGAATAAAAAGTTATAAGTGAAATAAATTTTAAGACATTTGAATTTTCATTTCATTTATGCATAAAATTATTAGACATTACTTCTCTTTTTTATTGTATGAATGACAGGTTGTGTCAAATGCTAAGAACTTTAGGTTTAGTAGAATCGAACCTGAGCTAGAGAAGAAGTTTGATCTCATGTTTAGTGGTGTTGCTGCTATTAGTGAACATGTCTGGACTCCTCAAAGTTTGGAAGAACATATAGTCCAAATGATCATATTCAAAGATTAGCACATTACATAAACAAAAATAGTGAATTCAGTCATGCTAGGACTCCATCTTCTTTAAAAGCAATGGTTGGTCGCGATAAAAAAATTGGTCGTGCATCTAAGAAGTCAAATATCAAAATTAGTTACAACATGTACAAACTTAACTTCAGAGGCTAACACTACGCAATCATCTTCATCTATTCCTGATGTGATAAAAATTTTAGAACAAACTGCAGAAGTTTATGAAGATATTCAATTATATTTATACTCCATGAAGCTACTTGAAGATCACATCAAGAGAGAATTTCATAACCATGGCACCTGAGATGAGGGTTCATTACTTGCACTTCTTCTATGAAAATCGCAATAACTGATTCATATTAATTATATGATTTTAGTAGACTCATTTGATATTTTTATATAACTACTTTTGATGTTAATTTTTTTATATAATACATATTCATGATGTTGTTTCTTTTGATGATATTTTCTAGTAGAAAAATTACTTTTTATATTAGCACTTATTATGTGTCATCTTATTTGATCCAGTCGTATTTTATTCTACTTGTGATATTTTGTGATGAACTCGTAATATTGTGTGGTGATGTTAGTACTTGTGATAACTTATACTGAGATGTTAGTATCTGTCATATATTGTGTTTTAATGTTGTACTGATGATATATCATGTTGTGATGTTTATACTTGTGAGATTGTGATATGCTACATTAGTACTTGTACTATTATATTCTCAAATGTATCATGTGTAATATTTATTGTATGACAATGTTCATCATTTTGCAGCAGTGATAGAGAATATATAGAGAGCTGCAAAAAAAAGTTATTACAATAGTTGCATGTGTACTGACTGAGTACTATGATTCATACATTTCTTGCACTCCATGTATGATGTCGACATTTACCGGGGACAAGTGGAAAAATGAACTACTTGGGAATCATTCAATAAGATTACATAATATGTTTTGTATGAGTCAAGTAATACTTATTAATCTTTTGAATGAACTGCAGATCAGTCATGGCCTTTGTGGCTCTTCTAGAATGAGTTCAAGGGTGGCAGTAGCTATCACACTTTACATTTTATCACATAATGTATCTATAAAGTCAGCTTGTGGAGATTTCAACACTCAACTAAAATCATCAGTAGATAATTTTCTATTGGTTTGAATGCTTTAATAAATATGTCTTCTTAAGTGATCAAATCTGAAGATCCGACCTTCTAAATTATTCCTAGAGAAATATCATGTGATCATCGATATATTTCATACTTCAAAGTATATTGCAATCATTCGTATATTTTTCAAAAATTCAAATAATTTTGAAATTTAAATCGATTACGATGTGATATAAGATTGTTGTTATGGATGGGACATGTGTTGATGCACATGTCAAATGTTGATAAGATTGCATACATTAAACGTTGTGATTCACTCACACAGAATATTATGACAACATGTGACTTTAATATGTGTTTTATTTTTATCATGGCTAGTTGAGAGGGAAGTGTTCACGATAGTCGAATCTTCAAGTTTGCAACACGATCTCATCTGCATAACTTTCACTTGCCGCTCAAGATTATTTGACTCCCAAGTATATCTGATATTAACTTTTAATAGAGTAATTAACGGTTGATTATTCTAAGAGAAAATTATTAGTTAGTAGATGTTGGATATCCATTATAACAAAAATTTCTTAAGTCATACTCCAACACAAAATATCGCATTCCAAACTTAAAGAGGGCTAGCCAAATTGTGCGGGGAAGAAAAC